TGTGAGGCCCTGCAACTTTGCAGGATATGAGGAGAATAACATAATCCTGATTATGCATTTGTGATACTTTTACTTGGAGGGATGTAAAAAATCTCAATCTTTAAGAAATTACTTAAATTAGGGCCAGTAGAAAACTGACTATAAATTGGCTATAGATACCAGATTTTCATTGCACTAGTTAAGTTTGAACAATTAAGGATTACAGTTTCTATTTTATTAGGTGTCTGGTTTTAGTCTTTGTGTCTTTTGCATCAAATTAAGGTGACTATAATTCTAAAGATATCCATCATTTTTACTGCTTCTTAGGTTGCTGCAGGTCGTGAATGGTACATTCACACCATCTACACAGTTCGCTCCAAGGAGAATGCTAACAGAGGGATTGGAAAACGCAGCTTAGAGTACCACTCTGTGACTTCCACAAGCAATGATGTGGCCTTGACCCCATCCAGTTCAAAAGGCCACCGCTGGAGGAGGTCAGCTGCCAATAAAGTTCCTGAAATCGCTGAAGATATTGGAGTGGATAAGAACCGTGGTACTAACATCATGCACATAGCTCTGGATCGCACCAAGCGTAGGCCAGTGGGGCCAAATGAACTCTTTGCTGATGGCCTGGAACCCAGGGAGCTGCATGCAGATGACGAAGAGGAGGGTCTGGTAACTGTGGTAGGGGCGCTGATCGGCCTCCTGCTAATTGTCCTCATTATTGTCTCCATCGTGCTGGTGCTCAGATCCAGACAGAAGGATGGGAAGGAAGGATGGAGGGAGGGCGTGCAGGAAGTGGTGAAAGGGTCTGTCAGTACAGAGCCCATGTTGGTGGTGAGGATGCAAGACTGCCGCAACAGCTCAGAGGTCTGAGCAATGAATGCACGGACAGACAGATGGACATGTAGGAAATATATGGGAGCTTTTATAAGTTTTTCTTTGGAATATCTTAAAAAATATATTTAAAAAATGGCATTAAATTGCTTTCATAACACCAAAACTCAAGAGTCATCACGTATGGTATTAAGTGTGCCTGTAAATGGGGGTGCGCTCTACAGTACAGAATATATACTTATCACTGCAACAGCAAAACAACAACATTTTTAAAAAAAATTTATTTAATACTCAGACTTGTCCTGCAAGTAGCGTAATACTGCTGTGCTCGCTGAGTGGCTTTGTGGTGTTAAAGTGCCTGAAGCAAATACATCCCTTCAGGACAGTCCCAGTCACCCAGTGAACATTTACGATAAAGCGTCACACAGGACAAGTCGAGAGCTTTAGCGCCGCGGGTGTACCTCCGGGAAAGGAGGCTAGATATTAACGATATGTGCATCAGAGGAAAGAATATTTCATCTCACAAAGAACGCTCTGATGTTTCCTTAAAAAATATGAATGATAAACTATCCCATCATTTCTGCAGTATGCTGAGGATAAAATAGGTTAATGTACACATGCTGTGCAGCTGAGGTTGTTAGAAACTCCATCCACTGGTGGGAGATAATAGAAAACAAAAGGTAAATACTGGACTTCTGTGAACTAAGTGTTTGGCTGCAAAACTTTTGCTGTATGAGCACATTCATGTTAAATCTGGGGTGAACTGTGCCTTTAAGCCTACAGTTTAGTCTTAAGATATTTGTTGGGGCAGTCATAAAGACAAGATGGCACCACTTGTGTTTTATCTGTGAATTAAACCTTGCAAAACTCTTATTATCAAACTCCAGGAATTGAAAACAACTACTGATATAAATTTAATGTTTAATCACCAGCTAAACTTTTTTTTTATTCCTCCACCATATCTACTGTTCCTCATCATGTTTACCATATACCGAAGAGTGTTTTTCTGCATGTATTTGGCATCTCTGTTGCTCCTTTTTATTTTAGTTTTTTAAATATTACTAGTACAGTTTTGACACTTTAGTTTTCAGCTCATCGCTGCGTCTGATAGCACAATGTTCACTGCTGTCACTGCTATCCTCACAGTGTTGTTGCTCTGTGTTTTTCTAATACTTTCTGTCATTTTGAGGGTTTTTTGTTTGTTTGTTTCTTTATTTAACACTGATTGAGGTACATTTGTAACGAGACACTCATCTCAGGAGTTATTTCTTTTACAAAGAATGGACTGTGTGTTATAACACAATTTACTACTGCTGACTGGAGAGCTCTCAAGAGCCACTTTCAACGTGTGTGTTACACTGCTAATAAGTGTGGTGCTGTGAACATTCAAATACTGTATCCATATCCAATGACTTAACCCCCTGCTCTTCCCACATTATGTTCATATTACTTGTCACTAGTGTTGTGTGGGATTTCAGTGTTCTGACTCATTTTGTTTTTCCCAAACAAATGATGCAAAGAAAATAGCTGCTCACAGATCAGTATGTCACTATGGAAAATATCACATTTGAGACTTTTGATATAATCTCATAATTTTGTCGATGTCACTGGTGAAGGTTCTTGTTTATATGTATTGTTAAAACTATGTCTTACTCTGCTATGAATATACGACATGCTGATGTAAGTGTTCCTGAATATTTGTCTTCTTATGGTGTTGTTAGTCATCCTTGTATAATTATTTCTACTATTCATCAGGGTTAGTTGATGTGCTGGACATGAGCCGGAAAGCAGCTGAGGTGTGAATCCTCGAGGTATGTCAGGATTTATACATCTGATTGCCAGCTGCGTATGTGTTTGTATTTTTCTATTTTTCGTTTCCTTTTTTAATTCTACCCTGATGAACTTGGAAATAACACCATATTTGGTATCAAATGCACTTTTCTGCATCGCCTCCCTCACACGCCACTACTAGCTATGCAATGTAATGTATACCCCACAGCCAGTTATTCCCATAATATGACAAATTTAGCACAATCAGACTTGATATTTACTTTGTGTCTTTTTATGAATGGGTTTTTATGTATATGTATTTAAGAATAAATACTGTTTACCGGTGCCTTTTGTTATTTTCATTGATTTAATCAGTACATTTAGGTTTAGAGGTGGGGTGGATCATATGAACTTTAGCGGCTTTGATACTTGATTTGACTTCACTGCTTTGAGACTGCAATGCTTTCCCCAAATTTGTCTCTGTCATGTTAAAATCATCTGTTTTACTGGTTTATGTTCATAGAAACAAAAACATATAGTGGAGGAAGTAATTATTTGATGCCCTGCTGAATTTGTAACTTTGCTTACTTATAAGGAAATGAACTCTCTCTCTCGTTTTTATAGTAGTTGATAGAATATCAATTAAAACTAAAAAAAAACACACATTACATATAAGTTGGTAATTTATTTGCATGTCTTTGAGCAAAAAAAGTATTTTATCTCAAAGCAAAACATGACTTAAAGCTTGGTGCAAAAACCATTGTTGGCAAGCACAGCAGTAAGATGTGTCTTGTAGTTGGTCATCAAGTTTGCACATATCTCAGGAGGGATTTTGGCTCACTCCTCTTTACTGATACTCCCTTAATCCTTCAGGTTTCTTGGCAGCCACTTGGCAACTTGAAGCTCCAGGTCTGGAGACCCTAATGCGCTTCTTCTTTAGGCCACTTCTTTGTTGCTGAAAAAAAACATCCATCACTAACCCATCTTCAGTGTTCCGGCTGAGAGTAGGAGGTTCTCGTCCAAGATTTTACACTACATTCCCCCGTCACTAGTCCCTCAATGCGGTCGACGTATAACTTGACCAGAAAATCAACCCCAAAGCATAATGATTCCACTTCTGTGGACTTGACTGAGGGGATGGTGTTCTTTGAGTCACACTCAGCAGTTCTCTTCCATCAAACATGATGTGTCAAGTTGATTGCAAGCTGATCGAGTAGAGCTCGATTTTGGTTTAATCTGACCATAGTACTTTCCCACAACAATTCTCTGAATCGTTTAGGTGTTCACTGACAAACTTGAGTTGGGCCTGTACATGCGCCTTCTTAAATGGGGGACCCTGCGGACGCTTCAACATTTCAATCCAGTTATTCATGTTATACAGGAAAACATGTTACCAGTGGTATTCTTGGTGGCTGTGGTCCCAACTGCCTTGAGATCATTAAGCTGCTCGCTTGTAGTTTGGGCTGATTCGTCACATTTCTCATAATCATCCTCACCCCATGAGGCAAGGGCTTGCATTGGATCGCCAGACTGAGGGCGGCTGATAGCCATTTTATACTTTTTTCATTTACAAAGAATCACACCAACAGTCACCATCTCACCAAGCTTCTTGATGATGGTCTTCTGGTCTATCCCAGTCTTTTGCTGCTCTACAGTCTGGTCCCGAAGTCCTTTGGTCTTACCCATGATGGGGGGAGAGGTTGGAAGATATTTATGCTGTGAATAGGGGTGATTTATACACATAATGAGTTGAGACCAGTACTATCTCTATTTAATTGACTTATTAATTGATTAACTGTAATCTATGTGCCACGTGGGCACACAACCAATTGGTGGGAGCCAGTATTCTGGCTGGGTTGTTGGGGATCAAATACTTATTTCACTCAGTGGCATGAAAATCAATTTTTATATAATGTGTTTTGGTTCTAGATTTCTAGTTGATATTCTGTCTCACCATTAAAGTGAAACTACCACAAAAATTAGGGACTATTTCCCCCACTGTACTAGTAATTTTCCATTTGCTATCACAGACTTATGAGCTTATTTGGACTGGTGAGTAATAAGTTAAAGTAGCTCAGTTAGCAGCTGACCTGTAAGCACACACATTGTTAATTCACCTTCCTAGGCAAAGTAGGAACGATTAAGAAGGGAAAAAATGGCACAATTATGACTGTCAGTGAAATGAGTTAGGCTCCACAATGTCTGTAGGGGAAAATGTTTTAAATGCTCCTCTGGGAAGCAGTAAAATAAAAGTGCAATTTGTGATTTCTTAGATTGAAGACTATGGTTCATTTGACTGCTGTGCCAATAAAGGGTATATAATTGAAATACAATTGAATAGAGAGAGAGTGAAAACTGATTGGCTGAGAGCGAAAGCGACACTGCACAAATGTGCCCACTTCCCTCCCTCCATCCTCTTCCTTCACTTCCTGCAGTGGCAGTTCTCCGCTGCTGGTTGGTTTGTAAACATGGCGACTGCTGGTGCATCTGGAGATGACCTGAGGAAGGAACTGACATGTGCTATTTGTTTGGACTTCTTCAAGGACCCCGTTATTCTGAAATGCGGCCATAATTTCTGCCGCTTTTGCATCTGTATGCACTGGGATGAAAATGGCGGAGACTATGGGTATCAGTGTCCTCAGTGCCGAACGGTAAGTTAATACATTATATACGCCTTTTTGTTTTTCTTTTTTGAACCTCGTCTGAAGGTAAATACAATAACACGGCGGTGCCAGTGTTTCTTCCAATGTCTTTTTTTTTTCTTTTATAAATATCTACGAGAAATAACACCGCGTGTTTGGCTACTGCTTTTAAAATAACGGATACCTACGCAGTGCATTTTGCAGTTGCTAGGATAGCTGGTTGTTATTGTTGGGTTTTTTTTTTCCTCCTTCCCTTAGCTAACGATAGTCAACCTGTCAACACATGAGCTGGCAGGTTAAAAGCTTAGCTCCAAAAATGATATGATGTACGCAACCTTGTGCTTGGTTAGTCGTCCTTAGCTTCTTTCTTTATTCCGTCAGGTGTTCAACAAGAGGACTTTCACTAAAAACTATCTGGTGCAGAACTTGGTGGCCAAACTGGACGATCTGGAGTGCCTGGGTGCTTGTCCTGCCCCCTCCAAGCCTGTGAAATTTGGTGAAAAGTGTGAGCATCATGGTGAAGAGCTGAAACTCTACTGCCAGACCGATAAGAGGCCTATCTGTGTTGTCTGCAGGGAATCTAGATCACACAGGTTGGGTTTTATGATTGACTTTACAAATATCACACCACAGCTCTGTGCCCTGAAAAGATTTTATTAATGACAGATATTAGTACACTGGACAGTATGAACCAGATTTTTAGGAATAATAAGGGGGCGATGTAAAAAGCACCATTTTCATCTTATGTTTTGTCTGCCATGCTTAATGGTATTACCTTAATATTAGCAGAATAATTTCACATTTTTACTTTTAGTTTGTGGCTTTGTGGGGTTTTTGTTGTTTTTGTTTTTTCAATCCTGTATCGCCTAAATAACTTTCAAGCATTTACTAATGTAACCAGTATCATTGGAAATTGGGACCCATAGCATGACTGGCAGCTGCTTATGACTAGGGCTGGGTATCGTCACTGATTTCTAGAATCGATTCAATTCCGATTCACAAGGTCCCGAATCGATTCGATCCACGATTCGATTTAATTCGATTTAATTCGATTAGATTTAAATCTGGGAAATTTTGACAGTCAGAAATATTATAATTCAAATCAGTACATTTACATATTTTTGTATCAATAAAAAGGAAGCTGACACACGCAAGACTTTATCAAAGGTGTGAGCATCACAGCAGATGCCTTTGTGTCAAAGTAGCTGAAGATAAAACACAGAAAAACATGAAGGTGATTTTCCTGGCCTGGGATTTTATAAAAATATTCTGCAGTACATCAAAAACGAAAGAAAACCATTAATCAACATATGAACATTACCTCTGAAGTTACAGCGGTTTTATTAGAGACACGGTTAAGCGTTTTGCATTTTGAATAATTTTAAAAAGTTTAAATTTGTTTAGTATTGAACAGCAGAAATGAGGTTTTCTTTTCGGAAGAATGTAAAAGGGAAAAAAACAGCGGCTGACAGCGCTGTAAACTACGGTAGACTGGTGCGTAACAAGCAAGCGAATAATGAAGAAAGGGAAACTGTTCTTGAAGTACAGAGAGAGAGGGGGGGGGGAGAGAGAGAGAGAGAGAGAGAGCTGTGCATCGCGGTGGAAGCAAAACAGTAAAAGTCAGAGTGAATTCATGACGATTTTACGTTTGGATCTTCTTTTGCTGCTGGTTCGGTCAATATTGTTTGGAGAGAGATCAAACTAACAGCTTTAGAATCGGCGCAAAAAGGGCGTGAACACAAAGCGTGGACCCGCCGAAACATCAGGATCAGCGAGCTGTTGGCTTTCAGCCCCAACCGTGAGAAAGGCGACATCTAAGTGATTCTGATCCGCGGGTCGCACTGTGTGTTTAAGTCTATGTGCAGAATCCGTGTACCTGCTCATTTACTGTCTTAACTGTTTGGTGGTTCTTCAAATTTTGTGAGATGTCACCAAAGATTCTGGCATTTCAAGCAAAATAAATTTATATTAAAAAAAATCGATTCAGGATTTAAATGAATCGATTTTACGTTATCCAAGCCAGAATCGATTTTAATCGATTATAAAAACCCACCCCTACTTATGACCCCACACCAAGCTTGGGAAGCACTGCAGTATATCTGCATTTCATAGTAAGATCCCAGGAGGGTTGTAGAATGAGGTTTTTGGCACTAATGTACCCAAGACTCATTTGGAATAGAATTCAACTTTATGGTCATTGCACACATCACAGGTACAAGGCAACGAAATTTGGAAGCATCATTGTGAATGCCTAGTGTACGAGTGTCCATCTGTGAATTAACTTTAGTTTGAGACCAGTATTGAGGAGGGGCAGCCACACAGTGTGCAATGACCTCAGCAAGACATTAAGCCAGCGGTCCCCAACCTTTTTTGTGCCACGGACCAGTTTATGCCCGACAATATTTTCATGGACTGGCCTTTAAGGTGTCGTGGATAAATACAACAAAATAAAACTAGTACCGGTACAGAAAAAGAGAATTTATTCATAACACACGTGAAAAGACACAGGATAACAAAATAACGCTGAAAACAGATTAAAAACCCTGAAAACTATACATTTCACACCTGAGCCTCAACTCTCGCGGCCCGGTACCAAACGACTCACGGACCGGTACTGGTCCGAGGCCCGGGGGTTGGGGACCACTGCATTAAGCGACTTATAGCAAGGGCAGACAAAGTGGGTGGGGCTCACACATAGATTATATAGAGGATGTACCTCTGAAAAGTGAAGCCAATGCAAAAGTGATTTAAACATTTTATTTAAATATGCACTGGGGCATGTTGGTTATGGTTCTAAAAGACTTCCCATCTTTTAGAGCTCTATAGGGAAAACTTCCCTCTGCCACAACTGTTAATCATTTTCTCCTGCATTTCTGGGTTTGGTTGCTCAATTCAGGTCATACTGTAGGCGAAACAAATTTCTTTAACTACATTTAAGTAGAGGAAATGCTGATTATCCAAAATAAGCTAACTTGTCAATGAGCATGTGGTGGTACCTAGGCAACCAGAGCCTGGAAAGTCTACTAGTCAACTACAAAGTGTCTGCAAAAAAGCAACTTAAAAAGTATCTTTATCTTCAAATAACTGTTCAGAACTTTGTTTAAAAGAGTTTTATAAATAAAGTTATTATAAACAACTCGAGGATGAGTGCATTGGTGCTTATGTGGACACGCCTTTAGCTGACCAAATGCACATGATATGATCCACATGATAAGCTTTACAAATGTGTACTATGGTTTTTGTTTAAACTTCCACCTATAAATGATTCTCTCTCTCTCTGTGTGGGTGGGTGTGTGTGGGTGGAACTTCTACTAAAAGAATATAAAAGTATAACAGACAATTTGAATAACCTAATAATTCAAATAGCCTCGTCTAACCTGCTCCTCAAAATAACTTACTCTGCTTTCACTTCTGCAAACTCTCTACAACTTCCTGTCAACTCCTGCAACTTAGTCTTTCTGAAAGACACACACACTGTTTAAACCTCTGAATACAATATCAATGCTGTAAATTATATTATTAATGCAATAGTAATGATTATTTACCAATAGCAGTAAAATAATTTCCCTGCTCCACAAGATCCACAAATATAAGCTATGTTCAAATCCCAGTGTAAAACTGGGATATCTGGCCTTCCATTGCATGCATATGGGTTTTTTTTTGTTTTGTTTTTTTTTTCTAAATAAACAGAACAGCTGGTAATCCCTTTTACAAGAAAATACAGATTTACAATTACAGACCCTACAGAGTAGCCTGCCACATTCTGAAATGTTAAGGATAATTAATTGCGCTAATATCAATGTTGACCTGATTTCATTAGAGAATGCTCAGATTAACAAAGGATTTATTCCACTTTACCTCGACTATATCTGTATTCATAATATGGAGCATATACTTAATGCAGAGGATGGTCTCAAAATTGGAAGCAGTTTGTTCGCACTAAACAAAACTACCATCTTCATCTCATGCGGCCCTCCTGGCGCCAGCTGGATGCTCAAGGCAAAAGCTGAATAACAAAATTCTCCTTGGATAACAAGACTGACTCTCTCCCCCACCCCAAGGCCACCCGCATCGACTAAAGACTGTTGACTTTTGCCTAACTGGGTGAAGGGACACTCTCTCTCGGCTGAACACAAATGTGCACTGACACAGACCTACACTCAATTACACCAGACCCTACATCAATTTCCCTCAGGATGAATAATTTGTACACAGAAAATTTTACCTTTCGAAAACTTATTGGATTTGTGAGCTCAACTTGACTGTGTATAACTGATCAGTATTTATATTTTATTTATTGAAGCACATGCTCATGAGTCCATAAGTTACACACAACATTGCACACATTTGTAAAGCTTAGTTTATGCTTGTGGATCATATCATACACTTTTACAACCCTCTTGAGGCAAATTTGTCTCCATATTGATGTCATAGCCTTCACTTTTGTAATCTGTCGGAGACCTGATGTGACACGAATAATGTTCATTGATTAAAGTGAAAGATGACTGAAACCTAAAACTGATTGTGGCTAGTTCCTGTCTTAGGTATTTACGAGTCACTTTTTAAACATTATTCATATAATAACTAAAAAAGGACTCGCTGAAACCATTCTAATTCACTATGAGAGGTTCTAAAACTGCTATTTTTCTGTCATAGCAGTTTCCCAGTTAATTCAAACAACAAGAAACTCTTTATAAACGACACACTGTGCAAAACATCATATGATTTGTGTTTATTTGTTCCTTTATCCTCAGATGAGGAATTGTGTAAAATAACATTTGCTCTGTTGGATAATTATATTGTGGAAAGTTAATCCATTGGGATTTGTAAGAAACACAATCTAAACATCTGTCTGAAAGGAAGTTCTAGATGACACAGTGAGTCCAATGTTTATTTATTTTTGATTAAAACAAATTGTTCTGTAACATGCTGAGTGTTTCGTTTCAGACACCATGATGTGGCACCAGTGCCAGAAGTTGTGACTGACATGAAGGTAGCAGTAGTGTTCCTATTATTATTATTATTATTATTATTATAATATTTTTTTTATTTTTAAGTAGTCTCCTATTATGTATTGGTAACCTAGACTCTTATTTACTGCATCTCTAATATTTGCACTGTTGCCCTGCTTTCCTGACTACATGTCTTCCTGTACATTTGTTACAGATGGAACTGAAACTGAGGCTAATGGAGCTCAACTGGCAGAAGTCTCAATGTGTAAAAGTTGTTACGGCTGATGAGCTCACTAAAAGTGAACTGAGGGTATGAAATGACCGTTCTTACTTGCTCTGTTTGTGAACTTGGTGTTCAAGTGGCCATTTTTTGCATATTGCATGCAAACATTCAGTTGTGCACGGTGAAATTTTAGTGGACTGCTGAACATGCATTTCTTTAGCATTCGTCTTGAAGTTATGTTAACATTATAGTTCTGGTCAGTCAATATTATTTTGGGTTTTTTTTTGTTTTTTGTTGGGGGGTAAGAGCCTTGTCAGGATGACTCTAGCAGATTCTCAGTTCTGTTTATAACGCTTTGCTCAGGCTGACGTGCTTGTTTGCACAAATGACTCTGCCATATTATTTGGAAATGCATGGTCACATTTAAAAGTTGACTTAAACCACAGATCGTGTGTCATTTATACTTTAAACCAACAGTGTCGTTGTTTGTGGTAGGCATCACTAGAACTGCAATGTGACCAGCATTGGGTATAATGCGTTACTGTAATTAAATTACTTTACCACTGAAAAAGTAGAGTAACTGATTACTGTTCATTTTTAGGTATTTTAATTAGTTACTTACAATGTACTTGCATTACATTGTAAAATTAAAACTCGCTGAATATCATTTAATTTCAATAATTTATCTTCTAAACGTAGAAGTAAACTCTGCCGCTTTAACATCGCTGTAGTCCAGGTGCACGTCATTTCGTGCCAGTTTGCTGCGTAGTCGTATTCTAAAGCGGAAGATGTCGGACTAGGCTGAAGCGAGTGGCTGTTTTATGAAATGGACATATTCCTGTCTCTTCACTCGTCTGAAACAAGCAGACAAGAACATTACAGTAAGGTGTAAGCTATGTCCTGGGGAGGGGGGAAAAAAAAAAAAAAATCAGCTGCTGTTAATACCAGGAGTGATCTACTGAAGCGCCTGACACGAGAGCAGAGACGAACACTTCTGACTGATCCTTGTTCATCATCCATGGATAACACCGCGGCAACTCCTGCTAAGCAGGCAAAATTAGATTTTACTTCAGCAGCACAGAAAGCATCTGAAGGTGAGCTTAAAAAATGATTGCAGGCTACATTGTGGAAGAGATGCTACCGCTGCGTACTGTAGTCTCAGTCTTTAAACTCTTTAAATAATAACTTTATTTTATTTATTTATTTATTTTTTTTAATTTCTATTGTTTGTCCACTCAAGGTTTATAGGGTTTTTAAGAAGTGTTGTAATCTCCCAGTTCTTTTAATCTTTGGGCTGAAGGAAGGACAATACTCGGTGTATAAATGCTCAATCAACAATCATTTATTTCCATACAATTCAACACACAGAGCATTAAGACGTCCGGACGGGAGAGATGCGGCCAGGGGGTTAGGCACATGTCTCTCAAAATGGTGGCGATTTTCACAGACTTTTATAGCTTCTGACAAGCCCCACCTAGTCATAAAAGCTACATCTTCACATGTTTTTCTACTTCTTAGCGAGACTGGCTCCTGACCTTGCCTCCCTGTCTTCCTGCAAAGGTGGGGGTATAGAATGTGGTTTATCTCTTCTGCCCTAGACTCAGAGTCTCCTTTCTCTTCATGATTCAGCAATAAAACATGTCAAGAACACAGTGTGAGACATTCACAGCAGATCAAGGATACAGAGTGATGCAAATTTATCTAATAAACTAATATGTGAATATGTTCTGTTAACTCAAGAGTATAATGAGAACTAGACTACATACACAGCACACCATCTAAACTAAAGGATAATACATGTCCTACAACTGTTAACATAATTCAACTACATTGACTATGGTCATAAAATAACATGTTTTACTCATAATCTTCACAGAAGTATTTAGTTTAATTACTTATTGAGTAATTAAGTAACTTTCCCGACACAGTAATTAAGTATTTTAAATACAATATTAAGTAATTACTTAAAGTAACTTACCCAACACTGAATGCGACACATTTATCTTATACTTTTCTTTTGCTCTAGTTGAAAAAGCAGAGACTCAAGGAAAAGATTGAAGCAGACGTCGGTGCCTTGGTCCAGTTTTTGCTGGACGAGAGGGACTCGCTGCTTGAGAGCCTGGACGCTGAGGAAGTGGCCACCATGGCTGTTATAGATGATAACTTGAAGACTGTGGAAACGGAAGCAGCAGCTGTGGACAAAGCTATAGCAGCTATCCACAGCCAGATCAATGGAAAAACTAACTTTGAGGTCAGTTGACTTCAAAGTTTAACTTGTAAATTGTCAGACCATGGCTATGACATAAGAGTTGGATAACGTTATTGCTGAGTTCCCCATCCCAAACCCTTTTGCTTCAAAAAGGATAAAGCAGTATTCTTAAGAATGAGACTGTCTTAAATACAGCTTTGGCAGGCCTGTAACATTCCTTTTTATCAGGCTTCTTCTGTTAAAAGCTGCACTATTGCCTTTACCTTTTTGTGTTAATGCAATCATGCTGCCTATGACAAACATGTGCCCCCTTTTATTTTAATTTTTTTTTAAACTGTACGCAAAAGTGAAAATGCTTGTTTATAACTGGGTGATAATCATACATTTTAAAGCTGAAATAAAAGCACAGCCATTGTCTTTAGGTTAACAATGCGATGGGAAAATTTGGTGCACAGAGTTGTAGTTATAAAATTAGACCTAGGAACATGCCCCTAGTCAACCAGAGTAGCCTTAAATACTGTTTACTGTAGATACTCAGGAGCCCAAATTGTTGTATTTAAATATCACATGGGAAGTCAAACGTGAAGTAAAACCCCACCAGCAAATAGCCGCCATCATCCAACATTCTTTATTTTGACAAGCTTCTCCAAATTACCATTAAAAGCAGAGTTGCTGTGGATGTGAGCATACTGCGTGGCCATTCATCATGCAAAGCCAAACAGTCATGAAACTGGTCTGATTTCATATTCTTATAAAAGGACTTTAAATATTAATTTGTGATAAACTGCAGACACCCTGATGACAGTTTACCACTGTGCACTAAGGATTAAGGATCAAAGCGTCCTTAAAATGGCATATGGGCACATGGGGCTGCTCAAAGCAACAAATGTTATGAAACTTGTTTGTTAGGGTTTGAATTATACATTAAACCACAAATTAAGTATATTCTTTCTTTTCTTCCCCCCCCCCTGCAACAGAGCCTTGCTGAGACATTTAATGAGTAAGTAGCTTTTTGTTCATTTATTACAAAAATGCTTTACAAAAACCCAGCATGTTAATTTCCATGTTTCTTCAGAGTTGTACAGTGCAAGCCTTTCACCTCTTTGGAGCCGGTTAACTGTCCGACAGAATTTACAGACTTCTCAGGGCCCTTTCAGCTCATCATGTGGAAAAAGATGATGCACGTGCTGCACACCAGTAAGTTGAAGAATCATGTACTGTTAGTGCTTAAGAGATGCTATATTTGAACTGTAAGACAGATTTTTTAGGCATGAGGTTGGGCATTTTCAGCCTAAAGCTTGCTGGATGGTGAATATATTAAAGTCTCTAAAGAAACTGCAGTAATGCAGGTTAACTTTTCTGCATGCTTTCTTTTTGAAACGGGTTACTGTCTAATAGGGCTGCAATTAATGATTCTTTTTGATAGTCAACTAATCTACCTTTTTTTTTCTGCACACAGACTTTTATCAGTCCTAATAAGGATATGATTTTTATCAGCATACAAATGATTATATTTCTAAGCACAAATGACAATATAAAAAAAATATCAATTTCAGCAGGCAGTTTGTCTACCAAGTCTGCTCTTTTAAAAATGTAGTATCAGGTCAGCTTAAGACTAATGTGATTTAATCTGTCATGGCGTCTCCATAGTGCCCCAGAACCTCACCTTGGACCCAGACACCGCTCACCCGAACCTGCTTATCTCGGACTTTGACACCAAAGTGGAGGAGGGCCGTGTCCGCAGCCAGGAGCCAGACCTGCCTGCCCGCTTCAATCGGTTCTGTGGCGTCCTCTCCACAGCCCAGTATGCTAGTGGCCAGCACTACTGGGAGGTGGATGTGAGGGACAAAGGTGTGTGGTACCTGGGAGTGACCACAGAGTGCAGCAACAGGAAGGGCTTCGTCAGCCTCACACCCTCCGCAGGATACTGGAGCCTGTGCCTGCAGGACAGGCTGTACGCCAATGGGGAGGACGGACGCATTCCAGTTGCCGACTACTGGAATTCTCCTCGCGTGGGTGTGTACCTGGACTATGACAACGGGCGTCTTAGCTTCTATGATGCTGTAACAATGAAGAGGCTGTACATGTTTGACACCTGCTTTGAGGAGCCTGTCTACCCTTTCTTCAGCCCAGGGAAAAATGACCCAGGCAGCAGACTGCAAATATGCCACTATTACTGAGAGTTTAAACAAGTTTAACGCCTGCGTGTTCATTTCTGCCTGTTGGCAAGGCTTTATCTCATAGATCAGGCTGGAGTGATAGGCTGATGTTGACCCTTGAAGTCATGTATGCTTTTGAGTTGTCTTACTGGTTTTTAGAAAGTACATTTTACATTGAATAAAAAGTACCAGGTGTACACAAATTTGGTAGTTTTCAACTTGGACACACACTGTAGGCTCATACCACCTCCTTTGGCTGGGGGTTTGGAGAAGTGCTTTGCTATTCATCACTGTGTCTGCTGGGTTGCAGATGCCTCGGATGCTCTTGTTGTTCAGAGCATATTCAGTGCTGTTATCCCGTTAGCAACAACTATGCCATACTTCTACTACTATAAAAGCTCACTCTTAGAAGGGTCAGTGGTGAAGCATTGTCTGGTATAGTTTGACTGTCTGTTGTTATCATGCTACATTCCCTCATCAATATGAGACTGAACACTCAATTTTGTCCATATTGTACTGATTTTACAATTAGACTTCCAGGAATGAATGGAAGTGGCAACATCCATCAGTACAAATCATTTTATCACAAACCTTTTAAACACTTAATTTTATATAAGATGATAAAAACTTAAAGTTGCACGCTTGGCATTTTTGGACTTTTCCCTCTGTATATTGCGGAGTTGCATCTTTCTTGCAGCTTATTTTTGATGCTGCATTTTTTTCCTTCCCCCCCCCCCCCCCCCCCCCCCCCCCCCCCCCGCAGTGTTGAAAGCAAATCAGTTTCAGCCAGTGTTGGTATTGATCTGGATAGAAGGAAAAACTCCCGCAGTATTCTAACTGCAGCTCAGCAAGCATTAGTTGTTGCACTTTTTTTTTTTTTTTTTTTTTCCCCATAAACAGAATTTTGTTTTCAAATCATCACCATTGTATTTCAAGTCTTTTTGTCCCCATTTAACTTTTTTAAATGTGTTTTTTGGTAGTTTTTTTTTGTGTGTGGGGTTTTTTTTTTTTTTTTTTTTTTTTTTTGTAATCTTAAACGGCCTCATTTAAAACGGAGGTCTGCCATCACATGTTGGGACTGAAACTCTACTCTTTAACTTTGAGTATTTGCTGGTAAATGTTGTCTCAGATGGTGTATCTTATTCAATACATACTTTTTATTACTGAAATGTATTGTTGGATTTTTTATTTTTTCCCCTTGGGGGGGGTTCTATTAATGTGATTGGTGTTTCTCACATTAGGATTAAAAGATGCAAAGTGTATTTGACTTGTAAGTCTGTCATCCATTTAAAACACTTTGTATTTAGACAATGCAGTAAAATTAGAATAGTATTGCAACTTCTTCCACAATTTCCTTTAAACTGAACTTTATCTTTGCTATAAGGTTACTAAAGATCAAAAACACGACAAGTCTCTGCAATTTAGTATTTCCTGCTGCACTTGGGATCGTTGTCTTGTTACATGCCTCAGTTTTTGCCATGCTTTAGCTGTCAGACAGAGATGGCCTTACGTTGAACTCTAGAGTACTTTGGGATATTTGGGTTATATTTTAGTTCCAGGGCCCTATTTCAGGAGGCCGGTTTAGAAAACTCAGAGTGAAAAACGATACTCAGGGTTGAGTAACCCCGAACTGTCCAACTCGGAATATTCTGTTTCAGAAAGGCTGATAACAAGTAGTTCAATCAACGCGGAGTTGCTTTAACCCCAAGTGAAGCGCGCGGACGAGGATACATAAAGCCCTGATAAGCGGAGCACAGAGTAAGCGAGTCACCATGGAGACGGAGGGAAAGAAGGCGCGGTCAATGTATTTTACAGCGCTTGAGGCCGAAATTCTGATGGCAGCATATGCCGATAACATGCAAATTTTGCGGAAAAAAGTAACACAGCCTCAGCTGCAAAAGAAAGGGAGCATGCATGGCAAAACATAGCCGACAGAGTCAATGCGTGAGTGTTAATATAAACATTGATTTAGGGATTACCACCCATTTAACACGTTATTTTATCATATGTTATTTTATTTGTTATTGTATATGAAGGAAATTGCCTTCCCGGGTTTCCTCCGTGGCGTGAGCGATAAGCAGAGTTCTGTCCTTTCCTTATAAGATTCCTAATTATTTAAAGTAACACTCAGGTATGCCATTCAGCTGGGTTAGTTACGACGTCGGGAGCAGCTTGGGAGAACAAGGAAACACAGACTGCTTCAGGTTGTCTTCCCAAATCGACTCAAAGGTTTATTTGATACACAGCAGTTTATATAGATGAAAAAAGGTTCGTGTGTCAGCTTTCCCAGTTCAAACCGGTACAGACCAAATAAGGAAACGTCTTCCTGCCTTCTGAGCAAAGTATCCCTTGTGTAGTTTATCAGTTCAGCTACAATTTATGATCATCCCAGCAAAATACACTCCTAGACATAGAATACAGAGTTCTTTCATCAGTGAATTCTGAAACAAACCACCTAGCCTTTAACGAGCCTTTTCCAGGAGATAAAGAAAAAGGGAGGATGGGAGTAAGGAAGTGGTCTCATCTCTGTGGTGTTTTCGACCTTGAGGTACCAGCTTGTGAGTCTCACATTAATTCTTGGGTCACAGAGAAAGAGAAAAACAACTAGTAGATCGGCCTTATTGAGTAACAGTTTTCCTGTATAAAACAATATCCTGTAAATGCTTACCGTGGTATCAAAATATCTAACAGTATACATTTTATGTTGTGATGTGATGTGAGCGCAGGTGCAACCCAACAGGCCCCAAACGTTCCTGGCAGCAAGTAAAAATGAAATATAAAAATATAGTCCAAACAGGTAAGGTGTAATTGTATTATGAGCCATAGTGCTTGGTCTGTTTGTCCGATGTAAATCAATTGCAGTTAGAGGCTACATTAATATTCTTTCTGTAAGCACTTATTGAAATTATCTGAGCACATTACAAGTACATATTTGCTTACTCTGTATGCTCAAATGTGACCCCGTTATAGCCAACAGGAAAAAAAGCGGAGGCCCAAAAAAACAGGTGGGGGTCCTCCACCACCACCACCACTCACAGAGGCTGAGCAGTTGGCCCTCAGCCAAAACAGTGGGCGCCCTGTGGCCGAAGGCATCTCTGCGGGGACATCCTCTGAGTCAATAACCCCGCAAGACACAAGTGCCTACATAGGGGGTAAATTCAAAATAATACATGATGTGCATACATCCTTTCTTCACAGTCACCTTTGCAGTGCTACTCATTCATTTGATAAACTCTTTACCATAATGGATTATTTTGTAGTGAAGTTATTTTCCTACTGATTTTGCTTTCCTCAGTCTTGGTTGTCTTTGAGAGCATAATGACAATGAAGTGTAAGGTGATTGGTATGTTTGTTAATTGCCATTTGGTCCCTTGTAAGTTATAAGTGTCCTGTATAAACCTCATATTCTATCAGTTGATGGTGGTGGTGTACTGCATCTGGTGCAGCCTCCTGTTGAGCCAGACCAACATGCAGTTGTGAGTAATACTCCACAGATTATATGAGTTCACAGTAGAACAGCAATGTTGTTTATTTCTTTACTACAGGAAAATAATGGAGAAACATTGACAGCTGTTACAGAGGAGGAAGCAACAGAGACACTTTATGAGGTTTACATCTTTTAATACTTTGTGTACAGGAAATACAGGTGACCAATAAAGCCAGTTGAACAAAAAATCTGTTTATTCGTCTTTCAACATGTTGAGGTGATGGGTCAAAAGAAATTATTGTGACATATGGTGTCTCTGACTGCGCTTCCATCTTGTATGTCCGTGGGAGGGTCAGGATGTTCATGGTTTGGATCACTGCTGATGTTTGGTTCAGAAGGACAGTGTTCTCCTCTAATTGTGGCAATGTTGTGAAGAATCACACATGCCACAATAATGTCACATGCCCTTTCTGGGGTGACCCTGAGTCTTTGCAGACACTGGAACCGGGCCTTAAGCATTCCGATAGTCATTTCAATTCTGGCTCTTGTCCTGCAATTAGCCAGATTATATCGCTGCTGTGGGCCCGGGTAAGGGGTAAGCAAATAGGGTAAACATGGATACCCCCTATCACCAAGCAAGTAGCCAGTGAACTCTCCTAAGACAGAAGGATACACTTCAGTTCAAATGTCCCTGAAGCAATTGGTCTTTATATATTTTAAAGTATTCTCAACTCACCATGTCCAAATTTTGTGCTCAGTGTACATTCACGGAATATTTGTGAGTCATGGACGGAGCCTGGCCACTTGGCTTCCACATTTGTGATAATGTTGGCAGCATCACATATGATCTTCACAGTGCAGAGAACACAAATTAGCATCCATTACTATAATGAAATAATTTGTTAGTTTGAAATGCTACAGGGAACTATGTACCTGTACATTAATGCTGTGGAAAGACTTCCTGTTCACATAGTCTCCTCCATTTACTGAAGGAGCAATGATTGGAATGTGAGTGCCATCTGTACAGCCAATCACGCCTGGGAACCCTGAGAATAAATGTAAAATTTAAGTAGTAGTTCAAGTATCACCACATCATGAATTAAGTTTTGGTCATCCTGCTACCTGCAATTTTGTGGCATCCCTCTTTGATAAATCTTGTGGGTCTATGACCGGGGAACACCACAGACGAGTACAGGAGACGTTTCAGTGCAACTGTAACATTCCTGACTGCCCGACAGACGGTAGCCTTGGAAACGTGCTCAGCGTCACCAATATTATGCAGAAAGCTCCCGTTTGCAAAAAACGAAGTGCAATACAAATAATATGTACAGAACTGAGAGAATGTCCGCGATGTGTCACATGCGTAATATATGGCCTGAGGATGTTATCCAAATAACTTATAGATTGTGCTGTGAAACGGTAACGTTCGCACAGAAAATCATCAGGAAATGATAAAATGTCCAAACGCGCTCTGATCACTCTCTCCCGGCGGAGAGCTCTGCGGAGAATTTGGGCTTCACGATCTACTGGCTCTTCAAGGACGGGGGACGCCATGTCTGACACTTCCTACTGTCAGGTTTCCGACAAAGGGGCGGAGACAGTCAGGGTTAGTTGTAGTAAACCTGCTAGGGGGCAGGTTAGCTTCACGGCGTGTGTCGTCATAGTGACTCACTGAGGCTTCATCTGAACTCGCTTTGTGAAACCGAAAACCCAGAGTTTTCGTTAACTCAGGGTATACTTACTCAGTTTTTCCACTAAACCGGCTTCCTGAAATAG